TCACCAAACTTTCAGATCATGAACGCCATCTTGGAGAGTAAGATGCTCAGACTTCTCCCTCCTCTCAGGACTCTTCTTCAACAGCCCTTCTGCAACAGGGGCTTGGGAACCAACATTTACACAAAATACTTAAGTGAACCTTTCCATTATGTAAGTTTGAGTAAACACTGGCTATAGCATCAGTGGCCAAACCCTTTCGGCCAGCTTTTTGAGAGTCATTTAAGTCTGCTGCTATCATTTAAAGTCATCCAAGTTAAAATCTTCTGTGCTTATGTTTTTCTTCTAATCTTTCTTCTTTGGTCAACCTTTCTTTCTACCTAAGTTTTAATTCTTCAAAGCTCATTTTAGTCCCACCTCCTCTATTAGCTACGTAATTTAACATTCAGTTACTCTCTATTAAATAGAGCCTTACATAATACCATACTTTGTTTTCCTGACTAGATTGTAAACTGGGATTACTCTATGTTAATCTGATGTGTCTGATTAGACTGTAAATCAGGGGTTGAGCCTGTATCTTCTATGAGAGCTTGAGTTCAAAAAATAAAACTTACTGGCTGATGTGTAAGATGTCAAATACAGAGTTGGCAAATATAATTATTTCACAAAGTAAGCAAAAAACTTCAGTTCTAAGAATTACGCAAATGCAGGCAGAGAGATGTTAAGCAGCTTGCCTAAAGTTACACAGATACTAAGTAGCAAACACTTAGCTATGTAGGGAGCTACACAGATGCCTGGCTGTAAACCTGGCTGCAAAAGAGGCATCTGTGTAGCTCCACAGCTCCTCAGTCTGTGTGCTTAACCACTAAGTACATGGCTTCTCAGAACTGATGGTTTTCTCTATATGAAAGGTTATTCCTTTTGCCTAAGATACTCAATGCTCTTTTCCCATGTCTTGCATGCCATGCCAGCATCCTTCCTGTCATTTAGGTCTCAGCTTAACGTTGCTTCCTTAGAGGAGCCCTTCCTGACCACTTAATCTAAAGTAATTCCCCATTTAGTTCTTATCACAGTATCCAATTAAACATTCATCACAGAACTTATAAATACCTGATATTTTCTTATTTGTTTACTGTGTGTCATTCTCAATATAATGAAAGGTTTTGGTATTGTGTTCCTAGAGCCTAGAACAAGGTCTGGCACAGAAAAAGTGCTCCATAAATGATGATTGAATAAACATGTTTATTTTACCAACCACTGATGAACATTTAGGGTTGCTGTCAATCTTTCACTACTATAAATCTCTGAAAATCTACCTTATCACATTTTTATTATAAATTACTGGAAGGCAAATTTCTAGGTAAAAAGCTATGCATGTTTTTCAGGCTTTCGATATATATCAGCAAATATATAACCTTTCCAGAAAGGTTGCTCTAATTTATCAAGAGAGGGTTAAAATGTTCATTTTGGTTGGGTGCGACGTCTCACATCTGTAATCCCAGCACTTTGGGAGGCTGAGGTGGGATGATCATTTGAGCTCAGGAGTTCGAGACCAGCCTGGGCAACATGATGAAACCCCATCTCTACAAAAA